GGTTTATAGGTGTACCTATATGAATTTTATGCGAGCCTGGTATATCACCTTTAGCCACAGCTTTCTGATAAAAGCACCATGAGGCAATGCCTTTTGGACACTTGAAATGCATTGGATTTGCATCAGTGGAAATATTGTGGTAGAGTGTTGCATAAATGTCAGATTTCATGCCACTTACATTATTTTTGTTACGCATTATGGCACTCTGATAATACTGTGTAAGCTTTTTTATTGTTGTTTCTTTTAAACTACCGTGAGACTTGCCACCTAATGTTTCCCCTCTGGCCTTATACTCTTTTACAACATTTCGCAGTCCTGTGCCTAAGCGCTTGCTGACATGATTCACACACTCTTCTTTTAATACATCAACATTTGGGCCATACACTTTTATATCGTTCAAATGTTTGTGGGTTTTTGCATCGCCATCCGATAATAATGTCATATATCTAAATCCCCAGGACTCAGATCTTGACCACAATATCTCAGCTGCTTTCATTTCCATTGCACCGGAAGAACCTGAATGATTTATCTGGCACTCATGTTTGTGCCCTTCGTACCAAACAGCAAACTCTGGCGAATCTCCATCCAGATCCTTTTTCGCGCTTGAACAATACGTGCAAAATTTGCTCATAATTTCATAGTCTATCACATATCCAGTTAAAATGTCTATAACACAACCTACGCCAATTGCAGAAGTATGACCTCTTGTCAACCATGTTCCGTCAAACGACACCGATAAATCAACTGCAGTTGAATTATCATCACTTTCCGATAATTGTTTATATGCTTTTTTCACTTTTCCATGGATAGATAAAAGTGAATTTCTTGTGGCGAATTCATTAATGTTTGCTACATATTTTTTTATGCCAGTAAAGGTTCTACTAGAGATGAGGGGCATGTTTAAAAACATGCAGAACTTTTCGACAGCTCCATGACCACCACTTATGTCAAGAAAAGCTTGAACTGCACGTATGTTTACATCAAAATGTGATGATTTGCCATTGGTAGACGGAATTCTTTTGCTAGTATATATGTTAGGGCGCTTTTTCATTACACGACACGATACCGACAAAATCGGACGACAAATGTGTGAACGACAATGTCGTTGCCGGATCGTTTAAGCAACTGTTTTCTCACTTGTCCGATATCGTTAGTNTTCTCTCCCAACTCAATATCTAGAGTGGATTTTTTGCAACAGCTCCAAAGAACAGTATTAAAAAGATTTTTCAAGGTATCTACACTAATAAATATGTATTTTGTAGAATCAGTAATTTCAGAACACACAGTTTTGTCGTAGCCAACATCTGAAATTCTTGAAAGCTTAGAAATATTTGGAGATTCAGCAGCTTTGTCAACAAACGCATTAGTTTCACTTTCACATTCTGCAAGATCCCATCGTTTCTGAATGTTGGATTTGTTAGCCTTTGAACTTCGTTTCAAACGTGGCATGGTAGAAACAATCAAGATTCTCAGAAATTGAATTATAAAACACAATTACTTTGATAGAAAAATGTTTAAAGCAAAAATATAATAAGTAATCTTGATAAAGCAAGCTTTTTTCGAAAGCGAAACTAGATTTTGACTAAAATCTAATAATAATATAAAATTCGATACCAGAGATAAAATGCTGAGAAAAATATAAACAAACAATTCTAGATGCAACTGATCCACTTCACTTCAATTCATTTTTATATATCAGCCGTAGATTTAATAAAAATAACTAAGGACAAAATGCTTCTGCTCGCCTCAGAAAAACTGATTTTGAGGACAACTTGTGAAAAATTCAATATCTAAATAATTATTGGTCGTAGAGGTCTAAAATTTTGTGAGTAGGTTGAAAACAGTACAAAGAACAATTCTAGCTAAAAAAATTGATTTTGATATTTTGATCGATTTTAGCCAAATTGTATATGTCAAGACCGGCCGGAGTTTTGTAAATTAAGAAATTTGTTTTTCTGGAAAGAAACCTAGATTTCATAAATCTTCTTTGCCCGTAGACAGCCCTATTTGCCTGATAGAGTCGGTTTCTTAATTTAGGAAACACATTCTGTTTTTTATTTTATTTTATGACCGCCGTTGAACAGTCGACACAATTTTTGGGTTTACGACTACAAATGTTCAACGCCGTAGCCTTGTAATTTTGAACCAATCCAGAAGACGAGGAAACTCCTGGATCGGTACCCCCAGAGGTATTGATTTGTTATGGGAACATGGAGGACTTTGAGACTCGGCAGATTTAACGTGCATCAGTCACCACAAAACACATTCTGTTATCAAAATCTTTCTCTCAAATATTGCGACTCAATTTTCCTCCAGTTTTGTCGTTATCCAAGCTTAAGAAGTATATGTCAAGACCAGCCGGAGTTTTGTAAATTAAGAACTTTGTTTTTCTGGAAAGAAACCTAGATTTCATAAATCTTCTTAGCCCGTAGACAGCCCTATTTGCCTGATAGAGTCGGTTTCTTAATTTAGGAAACACATTCTGTTATCAATATTAATAATTGATCTGAAGTAAGTAAAACTCCTTACTGTTCCAATCTATGAAAATCTATTTNTTGTATTGACTTATTCCTATCACATGGGCCATCCAATTCATTCCATTTATTTTTATGTATTTAATAATATCAGGTTGCTTATAAATCTTGTGCAGTTCAAAGTTAAATCTCCTTCTCCAATTATTTTTTCATTTACACCACCAAGTATACTCCACAAAATCTTTCTCTCAAATATTGCGACTCAATTTTCCTGCAGTTTCAACACATTCTGTTATCAATATTAATAATTGATCTGAAGTAAGTAAAACTCCTTACTGTTCCAATCTATGAAAATCTATTTCAAAATAGGGGTCTGGGAAATAAAAGTACCCTAACAGCAAAATAACTTGAGCTCTCATTGGACCGATATTTATGAAACTCGGTCCAGTAACAGGGGTGATTGTGTTCCGGGAGTACCCCTGAATTCCGGGTTTTTTGCATTATTCTTCCAGGTCTGGAAACTAGTAGCAAGGCCTGTGATTTTTTCGCAGAAATCCGAGCATCTCAAGACCATTAATTTGCAGATTTCCACGAACCAGAACTTGTAATCCGATGAACTAATCCGAATCCGAGAACTTGTAATTTTATTTCTACAATCTAGAAATAAAATTTTTAAACCTTCACTAAATTGCGTTAACAAGATTTTTTCAAACGCGTGTCTCTTCTGCAATTATACATTTTTGGTTTGTCGACTTTTCATAGTTTTAAATGTTTGAAACTATGCCAGAATCCTCTAATATTGAGATTCATAATCACACAATTTTAATATCTAGCATCGATTTTCGTATTTACCTAAGTTAAAAGTTATTCACTGTGAATCGTATTCATGTGATTTTAAAATTGAACATTGCGGTTCATATTCAAATGAGTTTAAAATCTTGTTTCGCTATTCCTAGACACTGGATCTTAAACATTGTGTGTATCACGATTCAAAAATCCAATAATGCTATTTGTGTTTTAACATTCTTAAAATCCACCATAGTGATTCATATTCATGCGATTTTCAGATCCTATAGTTTGATTCTTCGTAAGAATGTGTCCTTAAATTAGTTACTATAAAATTTTGATATTCTTTATTAATAAGTAATCTAATTATTAAAAAATTATATTAACTAGGAATAGTATATAAATTGATATCTTACGTAGTTTTTACACATAAAATTTTCAGGGTTTTTCAGTTTGTGTCACAATTACCCCTGCAAAAAGGACCAAGCTTATTATAAAATGGAAGACTCATTTTTTACTCAACAATTTACTAAAATATTTAGTGTCAGCTATAATGTTTTGAGGGCGGTAGAGGTTTTTAAGCAAGTTGGAATTGGAGTTGTAACCATTTTTATTCATGTTAGTTACATTGACATTGATTTTTGCAATTCAATTAATGTTATAAAATGGATATTTAATTTGCATGAACTCACATCCTTAAAAAATGCATAAACTTTTTTTTTCATTTTTTTTTAAATTTAAGTTGATTTAAATTTATATGAGTATCTTTTATGTTTTCTTTTCCTTAAATTAATGGAACAATTTCCATTCATTATCAAACAATTAGACTGTATAGATCAACTACACAATCTGTATGTTAAATAATCTCCATAAAATTATGTTCTTTATTCCATTAGTATACACATAAAAATTATTTTATATTTCAGTATTATTAAAATTAAATTAAATTTTGGTCAAGTTTTTAATTTATACTTCAATAACTTTTTATTGAGGTTGGATTTTCTGTAATAATTCATAGTTAATATTATATGTATTTGAATTTTACGTTCTATTCTGTTTCCATCAAGGAAAGATTACCAAGCTATCGTGGCACCAGTAATTATATTTAATTATTGGATTTATACTTTAAACACTTTTTACCACAATACCAATAATACCTTTTACCAAAATTTTAAAATTGTCTGTGGTAAAGATACTAATTTAATATTTTTTTGCAGTTGTCAAAAGTGGAATAGTAAAAAATGTAATAACTTTTATATTTATTATGGTAATGTAAAAAATGTTTTAGATCATTGTGGGAATGCGCTCATTTTTTTAGTTAATCATAAGCTCACACATTTACTTCATTTTTAAACTATTTTTATTAAAATTTATATTTTCTCAAATTAATTAAAATACAAATGACCTAAAATGATCATTAATAATTTTTTCCTAAAAAAATTTTCCGCTCTAAAATTTTTTTTTTTAAAGAAAATGCAAATAGGTTGAAAATATTTTTGAATGAGAAACTAAAAATAATTTGTAAATAAAAGAAATGCTACTTACCATATATCATACAGTTACGATTTAAGTAATTTGAATAAATAAGGGAATGAATCACTACGTAAGATATATCGTAAAGTTACGATTTAAGTAATTTAAATAAATAAGGGAATGGATTATTACATAAAAAAGGTGAACAACAGTCATCGCAGGATTTACATAAAAGGATAAATAGAAGATCGTATAGTTTGAAAAAACATGAGTCCAAATGAGTTACCTGATCCTTCGTTCCAGATGGATCTCCAGATTCTGTTGCTGATCAATTGCTGTTGAAATTGAATCATAGAGGACACATGGTTTAAATTACTAACTTCACTTTATTTCGTAGATATCACTGGTAAAGGTTCATTGATGAAGATGGCTCCCTTTCAGATGGCATTCAATCGCCCACGTGTAACATGAACTTTATATCATATTTTTGAATCAGATGAAACTTCCTTCTTTTTATAAGGGAAATTCGAGAATCGACTTGTAAACATCAGGATCATCGTAGATTTAGTGACTGCTACTATGAAAACTCGCCAACTATTGGCGACAAGGAACACGTGTTGAGCATCTTAATTTGCTAACTTTCAAAGTGAAATAGAATGTAATTTATCTTTAAATTCATTTGATAAACTTTAATTTAAATTTATTTACATCTTGTACTTGTAAAAAAAAGGGTGAAGGGTCAGCTATTCAACTGGAAGGCTAGCGTCTGAAAGTTTTAAAGAAATGAGAGCGTTGTTTCTCTCATACCGTGGCTTCCTCAACTGACGCCAAGAAGGCACGCGAAAAGGAGCAAAACGCTACTCTGTTAGAGTTAAGATGGGAACCATCAATATGGAAAAATCAATTGATCAATTTAAATTTAGTAGAAGGCTATTCTGGTTAAATGAACAAAAACTGAAAAAACTATTGAGTTGAATATCGCCACACATGTGATGTAGCAACATCACACCATGTATTTAATGGTGTAAAAACTTGCAAAGGAAGTTGAGGTTATTTTTAAGCATTGGTGAGACTCATTTGGAAACAATTTATTTATTTTTGAAAATCTGATACTTAAAATAAAGTATTGACTTAATTCTTACACATCATTTTAGGTCTTAAATCTAATTCTTTTTGCAGAACAAATATCAGGATCAGATCATCAGAAAACTGAACATCATTATTTGAAACTCTTACAAAAAACTGTATCATATTTAGGAAAACACTGTTTTACTTATAAATTAAGCTTAAAATAAAATTTCATGTTAATAAATCTTTGAATTGTTTGTTCAAAAACACTATTTTTGTTTCTACTTATATCTAACACGTGTTAATTTGGGAGCTCTATTTCTACACCAGATACATGCAAAAGCCATAATTTAAGCTTAAAAGTAGGGCTCTACCTATACATGGGAGTGACCTTTATATAAAAAAAATTATTAATATGAAATGCCACCTTTTGCCATTTAAAAGAGAAAAAATTATATGGTTGATATCTTTCTACACTGTAGCACAGTTTAGTTCTAAAAAAATTATTAGCACTTAATTTGAATATTGTACTTGATTTTGAGTACCTATCTAGTTTTGTTTTTCTAATTGTTACCGATTCATAATATTTTTTCTTTCTTTCTTTCACAGAGATCAAACTGATTATGAAAATGAAAAACGTCAAAGAAATGAAGAAATTCAAAAACTAGAAGAAAAACTTTCAAATGTTGATATTCGAAAAGATGAATTAGAAACAGAACAATTTCGTTTCATACAAGAGCAAAGCTCGCAAGAACAGGAACTTCAAAGATTGAAGTAAATTATTTTATTTCATTTTTGCTAAATTACTTTTATTTTTTAACGCTTATCACCTTTTTGCCATCTGCAGAATTAATGTTTACTTAGATCCCTTTGTACATTTTAGTGTATAGGGCATGCAACCGTCTTCCGTATGCTCTTTGGTCTCTGGTTGCCTCTAATTCACTAAATCATGCCTTCTTAGTCTTCTTACATTTATCTTTGCAATGTCATTCTAGAGCTTTCTCTCTTTCATCTATCATCATTAGCTCAGGAAAGTGAATGAAATGTTATTTTCTTTCTTAACATTCTTAACGAAAGCCTCTTCATTGCAACCTTCTTTTGTTAATTTCTTTTTCCAAAGTTGATTCATATCTTATTTTAAGAGCGAAAAATGTAAACAAAAATTTGAAAAAAGAAAAACAATTATTTTTTTAAGCTTCCATCAATAGATTTGGAAAGTCTATAGATGTCTGTTTTTCTAGGGTGTGTAGCATTATTAAAAATTGCTTAAGGGTGCTCATTTTCGATTTTCGTCCTTTAAAAGCCCCTAAAGGTGCTTTTTTTTATTGGGCGTTTTTAAAAAGTGCTTAATTTTCCTTTTTTCAAAATAAGATTTTTCCTTTACCATGTTGATTTTTGCTATGAATTATGCAAAAAGACTCAGTTCACATTGTTCTATTCAAAGTTTTCCTAATTGACTCAACCCCAATCAATCTACTTCAGCGTATTGTCAGTCCATAGCGTATAAAAAACGCCATTCGTTTTGCATGATTCAAAATTTCTTGATTTTTGACAATTGTCAAAAACAATGCCTAAAGGGATTTTTTTTCGACATGACGGTTAAAACAAGATAAAACCGTCAATTGTCAAAAAATTTCCAACCTTGCCTAATTATGATATTTTTTTAAATTGCTTAAAAATATTTTTTGAATGCTTGAAAAGTGCTTAAAAGGTGCTTATTTTTTGTTGAATAATTTGGCTGCACACCCTATTTTCTAAGCCGACCAGCAATTTCAACACCACAAGCTAAAATTTTTCTGACTATTGTATTATACAGAGCTCGTATGCACTGGGAATTCTCAGGGGTAAAACTTCAGAAAGTCTTCAGAATTGATTCAATTGATTGTTTCTTGATGCAGAATCATATCTGCTTTTGTTAAAAGTTTTCTGCTTTTATAATATTTTATAGTGAATTAATAGCCTCATACAATTGTTTTATACTGACAGCAGACAATTATTTTTTTTTATGAAATGGATTACAACTTTCTTTAAAATTTGTATTACTTTAATTTTCTTTTTAAATTATTATCACTCAATTAAGTTTTGCTATCTGATTGGTGTTTATCTTTCGTATAATTATTTTTTTAATTAATGCTAATTTATTGGCTTTTAATTGTTTATTGCATTTTAATTTTTAAAAATTTAACTTCAATTATACATAAATTATTTATATATTTACAAAGTCTTTAGCAAAACTTGGCTGAGTTGATTAGCCTGCAAAAGGACCAAGGATGTCTGATATTGGTCCTTTTTAGATGGTTCTATCATAAAATGATCAAACTTCATGTACTGAAATGGGTCATGTTTATGATTATTTTATTTAGTATGTGTGCATGCGCATATACTTGTTTAACATGATTATGCTCATATATCGCATCCTTGCCAATTGTGTTGTGTCTCTAGCTGTTATATGATTTATCATGCTGTGAGTGCCAGTTAGTTGACATTTAAGAGTCTGTATTTAAAACAGCTTTTATGACTATAAACCTCATTTAAACTATTATTACTAAAACTATCGTAGACAATTATGATTAATGATGGTTTTAATAATTTAAAAAAATTGAATTTTAGGCATTTTTATTGCAAGAGTGCAATATGATAACCCAAATCTTGCAGACTCTTAAATTTCAAAAACTAATTTTAAATTACTTTAAAATATTTTAGAGCAGAAATTGGTGATTTAAAGAGTAAAAGAAATATACGGCATAACCAGTATTCTCGAGTGAAGGACTCAAAAAACAATAGGCAAATTATGTTTGGGGAACATACTCCTTCAGTTCTTCAAGAGATTCAGCAAAATCAACGTAAATTTCGAAAAATGCCCAAAGGTCCAATAGGTATGTCTTAGTTCTCATTTACATCAAATCATTCTTTTTTTCATAGAAATAAAAAAAATCTGTTCATTTTCTATAATGTTATGCCATTTTAAAGATTGAACACATGTATATTCTTCTACATAATTGCCATTTTGGTCTCTTCCTTTTTGAAGGTGTTAGTTTTGGTAAACCCATATCATTGCTATGTTCTTACGAACCTCATTTTTTTCTTACGTCCTAGGTAGTCTGTCCCTCTTATGCAGTAGTTTCAATGGAGCATTTTACAGACCTTATAGTCTGGGTTTTGCATTTTTAGTAAACCCATATCCTTGCCTTGTTCTTACATGCCTCATTTTTTTCTTACGAGCTAGGTAAACTGCCCCTTTTATGAAGTAGTGTCACTGGAACATTACACATACCTTATAGTCTGGGTTTTACATTTTAGGTAAACCCATATCCTTGCCATGTTCTTACAAATCTCATTTTTTCACTGGGTTTTGCACCCAGTGACTAAGTTAAAAGAAAGTTTTTGAAAGCTTGGTCAGATCTGAGGAAAAACTGAAAGATTAAATACAATCTAAGGACATGGTGGAGAGTTAGAATGACATGAGCATGCAACAACAGCATCTACTAAAATGATTATTATGTAGAAAAATATTAAACCTCTTAAATGATTGAATATTACTGAGAATAAGTGCATTTTGTGTTAAGAACTTACTGTTGGGATTGCTTTCGTAGCTTAAAATGAAGTTACTTGATGAATTTCATTGAAAAAATTCTTTTTTTAGTAATACTATTCTGAATTGATTGTTCAATTTAGAGTTTTGTTTGTACAATAAGAATTATATGAATTAGAAAAGCCTTATTCAATACAATTAATTTTAAATACTCAATAATAATGAAAAGAAGAGAAAAAATATGTTTTTTCTGTATTTAATATTTTTTATACTATCATGATTAGAGCAATCATATTTTATAACAAGGAAGTTACAATACACAAATTTGTAATGTCCTGTTCAAGAGATTCTTTAATGTTGTATGCTAATAGTTATGATTAGCATACTTTTTTTTCTTATTAAAAAAATGAAGCTTTCTGCAAATTAATTTTATTTCTGTAATTACTTATATTTAATGTGCATTATTTTAACAAAAAAAATATAGGTTTATATATTGAAGTTAAAGATTCAAGATGGACTAGTGCTGTGGAGGCTTGTATAAAACCTCATATGCTTCGGAGTTTTTGTGCTGATAATTCTGATGACAGTAGGTTGCTGACACAAATTTTACAGAAGTATTATACAGATAGAATGCCCTCTGTTATAATCAGTCCATTTCTTTCTCATGTGAGTGTAAAAAAGAATTTATTTTTGTTATTTGTAATTTCATCTGATAGATTAGTAGATTGCATGTGATAATCTTAATTCATCAGCAGCTATATTTATTTTTCCTAAATAACCCATCGCTGTCCAGTTAGCAATATTTCAATGGAGTTTTTGCTAGTACTTGCTAAAAGCCCCTCAGTTACTACGCAATCATTTCTTATTTATTGATGATAAACAGATTGTATTATCAAAAACAAAAATTATTCAATTTATTGCTGCTTTATTTATGAACTTGTTATAATCAAAGCAATATATATATTTATTACAGAATATAATATATATATATATATTATGTTGTGAGAAAATAAAACAGAAAAAAGTAGTTTATTCTTTACTTGATATTAAATCATTAATACTAATCAATCTATATTATTTTATTTATTGCTGTTTTATTTATGAGCATATTATAATTAAAGCTTCATTGTGTGAAAATGAAGCAGAAAATGCTATTTATTCTTTATTTGCTCTTAAATCCTTAGTACGAAAACCTTACTTTACTATGCCATAAGTACTGTATATTTCTGAATATAAATCCATCCTTCTATAAGCAGTGGAGTATGCTTCTCATATGCAAATTCATT